TATTTTTTTTTAGACTTAACGCTGATTAAAAGAGATAGAAACTAGATGATAACTTTATTACTTTTTAGACTTACACGGACAAAACCCGTGAAAATAACTCAATAAGTATTTTGGATATGAAATAATGGTAGATTATCATTTTGGATGTGGAGACAAGTCATGAGAGGCAAATCAAAAGCACTTACAAGTGAAAAAGAAAAAGAAATAAAAGGAAAATACCATTTAAAAGTGGATTGTGTCCTCCTTAGTCAAAGCCTTTCTCAGAATCCCAACCAATAGTGAAAGTACCTTATGCTTCAAAAGCTGTACATCAAGACCGAGTATTATTTATTTATTTATTTATTTTTTTTTAAGGAATTTACCTCTGTAAAATCACAGCATTCACATTTTTTGGTGTAAACAGTAGCCATCAGCGCACCCAACTCATTTTTCCGTTTCTCGCCCATTTTTAGAGAGAGAAACGATACCCCGTTGAGGCTCCCTACCATTGTTACGAGAGCTTTTGGCAGATCGGTAAGCTCGTGGGGTTTTGTTCTTGAATTATTACTATTTTTTGCCGAAATTCAACTTCGATTCTTCCATTTTTGTCGTTTTTTTCTACTTTGCCCCCCTGTTTTTGAAGAGTGTATGTGAAACTGGGGAATGGAGTATGTGGGCAGAAGGGTGAAGAAGGAGTCCCAAGGCCACGGCACGAGCTTTGGTTCGGTTCAGTCTTACGAGCCGTCGACTGAGGTTTTTAAGATCGTGTACGACGGTGGAGATTCCGAAGAATTGGAGCTCGCGGAGGTTTCTTCTCTCTTGCTGTCCACCGACCCTCCACCTCCGCCTCCGCCGCCGTCCGAGGCTCCAGTCAGGAAGCGAGGCCGCCCAAAGAAGCGACGCCGCATTGTGAATAAAGGTACAGGCAACGGTGATCTTAAAATTGAGAGTGGGGTTAATGAGAATTTGTTAGGTGGAGAGGCGGGTTCTGGGGGCTTTGATTTGAATTCGAATGAAGGAATGGATTTGGATGTTGATGCGCTTAACCCTATCACTAGGGACGATTATGGGGTGAATGGGGTTGGAGCTGGGGGAGACATTCGTGGCTTGGATTTGAATGAGGTTGTGAATATGGAGTCAAATGAGAAGTTGTGTCTGAATAATGGTGGCGTTGTTGGAAATTCGGGAGAAACGAAAGAAATTATTGACCTGAATGTGGATGCATATGAAGATTGCGAGACGTTAACAGATGGGAGAAAAGGGCGTTGCTTTGACTTGAATTTACAGTTGACCGAGGATGAGGTGAGGAACTTGGAAGAACGTGAGCTGCAAAAGGGAGCAAATGAAACTATTCATAACAAAGGAAATATGCAGTTGAATGAAGTCTTGGTGGAGCATGATACCAAAGAATATTTAGTGAATGTAGATGATGGAAATCCTGTAGTGAATGTAGAGAACAAAGATGATAGCCCAATGAGGAACTGCGCTTCTGGGCTCGATAACGGAAATGTGGCTACACAACAAATGAAAAGTGGTAGAAAGAGTAAAGATACTTCGATCAATAATATCAAAGTATCCTCCCTGGAGCCACGACATGAGAACATGAACTCAGAGTTGGATAGTGTAGAAGGAACACCATCGAGAATGGGTGATGATTCGGTTGATCACGAAAATGGAATTTTGGGAACTCTAACTAGAGGGAGAAGAGGTCGGAAGAGGAGAGATTTATCAGATAATAACGTTATTTTGCCTACTCCTTCAACAGGATTGAGAAGGAGCAGCCGTAGAGCAAAGAGAGAAGCTTTGTCTGATTCTGATCAAGTCCAAAATGCGGCAGACTTGGATGACACTGATCCAAAGTTGTCATCTCCAGCAATTAGTTTCATATCTCAAGAAAAGAAAGTTGTAAAATCTCGTCGAAAATCTTCTCATCCTGTTATTCTTCCACCTAAACTGGAGCTGCCGCCGTCTTCTTGCAACTTGGATCTAGATGGAGTTCCTATGTTTGATTTAGTTTCTGTTTACGCATTCTTGCGGTCATTCAGCATTTTGTTATTTTTAAGTCCCTTTGAGTTGGTTGATTTTGTGGCGAGTGTTAAATGCAACGACTCGACATTATTATTCGATTCGATTCATGTTTCTTTATTAAGAGCTTTACGTACGCATCTTGAGTCACTTTCCAATGAAGGTTCCGTGTCAGCAGCTGATTGTCTAAGGTATTAAGTTCTCTCTTGCTAAAAGCTTATCCGCTGAAATGTCCATTTCACGATACTTATTAACCCTCATATTCAAATTTTGATTCAGGTCTCTTAATTGGGATCTTCTTGACCTGATTACGTGGCCAATGTTTGCGGTTGAGTATCTATTATTACACAGCCCTGGGTACATTCCTGGCTTAGATCGTTGTCACTTGAAGATTCTTCTGAATGACTATTACAAACTGCCCATCTCCGCAAAAGTTGAGATACTGCGGCATCTTTGTGATGATGTCATTGAAGTAGAGGCATTTAGGTCAGAGCTGAACCGAAGGATGTCGGCAACAGAATACCAGACGGACTTGAACCGTGATTCGAAATTTGAGAGTTTTCGTAAAAGAAAACCTGCCATGGATGTCGCTAGTATGTCTTGTGTCATGGAAGAAGATGCCGAGGAACATGCAGATGGGAATAGTGATGAATGTTGCCTTTGTAAGATGGATGGGAACTTGATATGCTGTGATGGTTGCCCTGCAGCATTCCATTCAAGGTGTGTGGGTGTAGTCAGCAGGCTGTTGCCTGAGGGCGATTGGTATTGTCCTGAATGTGCCATTGAAAAGGATAAGCCCAGCGTGAAAGTGGTGAAGTCAATCCGAGGAGCAGAACTTTTGGGGAGTGATGTTTATGGACGGATATTTTATAGTAGCTGCGGTTACCTGTTGGTGTAAGTTTCTTCTTATAAAATTAAGAAACACTTGATTTCAGTTATGCGAATGGGTTAGTATAATTTAATGCATAGGATCTCGCTGCGGACCGCAGTTCTAGACTTTTTGTGTATCTTATTTTTATAGAGCTTCTCAGTTTAAGTGTGGTACGGAATGTCTGAGATTGGGGGAAGGCAGTCTCAGAAGGCACACTAAAGAGCATGACCTCCCGTTTAAAATTATACATTAATAATAAAGTCAACTCTGCCATATATAAAGATGAATTAACCTTTGCAAATGCAAGTTAACTGGACCTGTAATTTTGAAGTCTTAAAGATGTGAATTTTGTCTCCCGTTTGTCCTATAATTACGAGATATAAAAAAATTATTGCTCCTGCATTTCAGTTAAATCCTTTCCCTTTAAATCCATTATACGGTTTTTAAATGTTTATTATGTTTTCGCTAAATTACAGTTTTTGCGATCAGCCAACGACTACCTAAAGAGTAGTCAAATTACTTTGTTTAAGTTCATTGTTCTTGTAAAAGATTACGACTTGTTTGGACTTATAAATATGTTAGAATTTTTATTTAAAAGTTAATTTGAGCACTATATATAAACTTCCACTTGCACTGCTTACCTGCAGGTTGGAGTCATTCAATGAAGAATATTCATTTTGTTGCTATGATAGAAATGACTTGTCTGGCCTTGTTGAAGTTCTGGAGTCAGCCCCATTTGTCTATGACTCTATTATAAGTGCAATTTGTGAGCATTGGAATGTAATTCGTGGAGTTGGTGGGGCCAAAAATGTCCTTCACTCGCGATCCTGTTCTGTACAGTCAACTCTTCCTGGAAAAGGGAAACTGCAGCATATAAATATGGCACCATCAGAAATTCTAAACAAGGATGTGTCTTTTGCTGAAAAGATGTCCGATGAAAAATCAATAGCGTGTACTGGAATTACTAATTCCAGTAACACAGAACTTGATATTACAGATAATGGAATAGTCATTCTGGAGACCGGCAACAATGGTTTGAAAATGGAAAATAATGTGGCAAGTTCTGAAGGATCAAATGAAGTCTGTCAGACATTCCCAAAAACTGACACTTTAAAAGGAAATGGTCCTCCTGATTCTTCTATAAGAGGGCCTGAAAGTGTGAACGACTGTCATATTCCTGGGAAGCTTGGTGGAGATCATCACATGACTTTGACCTCTGTAAATGTTGAAAAAGAGAATAATCTTGGTTCAGAAAATCATAGCTTTGCACCTGACAGCATAAACTTTGGAGTGTTGTCTCCAGCGCATTGCCCGATGAATTATGACAACTGTTATGAGTTAGCTCGAATAGCATCTTCATATTATGAAGCATTCACTAGTAAATCATCTGATAAGACCCCTGGAGCTCCCCTTAAAACTGTTGAAGAATTTATAGCAGGACAGGTGAAGGTTGTATCGAACAGATTTGCCGAATTTTCGTGGTCAAATATTCAGAATAAAAATGTGAAGCTCAGGAAGGAAAGATGTGGGTGGTGCTTCTTTTGCAGGTATCCTGATGATGAAAAGGACTGCTTATTTATTATGAATGATGCTATTCCAGTTGTAGAGAACTTTACTTGTGAGGTTTTGGGAATTCAGTCTGGAAAAAATAGGAAGAACCATCTTCTTGACATCATGTGCCATATCATATGCTTGGAAGATCATCTGCAGGGCCTTCTTTTAGGTCCATGGTTAAATCCACATTACTCCATGCAATGGCGCAAAAGTGTTTTAGGAGTGGTTGACTTGGTTTCACTAAAGAAACTGCTGCTGAAGGTTACACCTTTTATTCCTTCCTCTTTATTTATGTAAGTGTATGAGCACTTGAATTGGTAATATTTATTCTCTACCAGATTATGGAGTGAGGTGGTACATTTTGTTTAATAATTGTTAGAAGTTATGTTTATATCACATCGTTTAGTTACCTAGCTGTTATTGTGTATAAAGTGTGTTGTGGGTTGGGCACCCTCTCCCTTTGAGGTAGCTTTTGGTGATTTTTGACCAATACCTAATTATCATGAGTTCTACCCAGGCCCTTTTACCCCCATCCTCTGATATTTTGTTTGTGTATATCTAATTTGTCCTTGTATCAGTTGTCTGATTATGTGTTGACTTTTGGCCAACAGCTAGAATCGAATGTCCATCATCTAGCAATTTCTGCGGACTGGCGAAAGCATGTTGATTCTGTTATTACAATGGGCTCTGCTTCTCATATTATCAGCAGCTCTGCTCGAGCGTCCTCAAAGTATGGCACTGGCAAGAAGAAGGCCAAGTCTTCTGAGTTGGGGACTGCCCCATCTTCAAATACCGCCACTGGACTTAGTTTTTTCTGGTGGAGAGGTGGGAGGGGTTCGCGTATGCTATTTAGTTGGAAGGTTTTACCTAACGCTCTGGTTTTGAAGGCTGCTCGGCAAGGTCTGAGATCCTGATTTATAATTCTGTTTAAACTTGTTATCAATGCTTGTGGAATATATAGTTACCAGGCTATGTTTCACATAAAATAGGTGGAGGCAAGAAGATACCTGGTGTACTATACCCCGAGATAGGAGAATATGCCAAGCGAACTAAATCTGCTTCTTGGAGAGCTGCAGTTGAGACATCTACAAGTGTGGAGCAGCTGGCACTCCAGGCATGTTTATTTTGTTTGTGTTTTCCACGTTTTAGATACAAAAAGATGTGTCTGCAAGAACAAGGCTCTATGTTTTCCCCCAAGATTTGTAATGCCCCTGTTGGGGGTTCGTAAGTTTACATGATAATCAATATAATTAAAAGAATTTGGTCGGCATCTTGAAACTAATACTACACCATACGATTCTCTACCTATCAAATAAAGTCTACTCATCACAGTATAAGGGAAAAAGGGATATTGATGATTCCGTTGCAAGTTTTGCTGATATTTCAATGAAAGAAAATGCTCCTAAGTACTTTTTGTGTTTGCATTTGCAGATTAGGGAGCTCGACGCTAATATTAGATGGGAGGATATTGGGAATTCCAGCCTTATCTCCAAGATAGACAAGGACACCAAAAAACCTGTTAGATCATTCAAAAAGGTCATAGTCCGTAGGAAGTGCTCTGAGGGATCAGTGGTCAAGTATCTGTTGGATTTTGGAAAAAGAAGATTTATTCCTGAGGTTGTCGTGAAACATGGAACCATGCTTGAAGACTCATCAAATGAAAGGAAAAGATATTGGCTGGAAGAATCTCATATGCCACTGCATCTCTTGAAATCCTTCGAGGAAAAGAGAGTTGCTCGTAAATCTAATAAGACGATCTCTGGGAAACATCATGAGAGTGCCGGAATAATGAGGAAGTCTATCAAGAAAAAAGGATTCGAATATCTTTTCTCCAGAGCTGAGAGACCGGAGAACTATCAGTGTGGTCATTGCAAGAAAGATGTTCCAATCAGGTACTGCATGGGGTTTCTTCTTAGTATGGTCTTATACTCCCTGAGGACCCTGCAATAATACTGGCAAAGAAATATTCTAGTCCCTCTCCTAATTTATCTCTTAAAAAGTATTTGATGTTATTTCTAATTTCTATGAATAGAAAACAGTCAGGGTTCTATATATATTGTGATTGTGCATGTTTCAAATGACTATTCTTTTGGCTATATTTTGTTAGATTGTGTATGGATGATCTTTTGTTTCACTCAAATGGTGTTTCGGTGTATTCTTTCCGCAACTAATTTATTTTCTTCTTCCTATTTTGCTCATTAGTTTTCTTTAATTAAATTTGCAATGCCAATGTTGAACTGCTATATGTTGATTTGCAGGGAGGCTGTTAGCTGCCAGCATTGTGAAGGTAAACACCTCAGTTCTCTAAGGCTTTTCTATTGCTGGTCTTGCTATTTTGTTTTGGCTGCTTACGTTACCCCAAGGTCCCAAAAAATTAGCTTTTAACTGGATGGTAATGGATCTTCCATGAAAACAATAATCATCCAGTTAAAATTTCCAAGTCCTCAAGAAAACCAGTGACCTCTGTCAACACTATAAAGATGAAGATTCAGTAATAAATGAACAAACACTTAGTTAGACATGATATGCCGTTCTAATGGAATACGCATCTAATAGCTATATACACCAAGTGTATCATATAATTGCTCTTACTACATAACTGAATTTTACGAAGTTAACGTAACAAAGATAACGATCTACTCTCCGAACACCTACACTCTTAAGAGTTTCTGCCGCTGCCATGTGTCAGTGCACCTGAGACTATCGGGCCGTACTCTTTAGCGCTTTTATACGTGTTGAAATTGTAATATAAAGAGAAAATATATAATTAGGTCTATTATTGATATATATATATATAATTGATTCTTCTTTCCCATTTTTATTTATTTTTTAACTATGAAATTTATCAAAAAATCTGCTCACAGATGGTCTTGATAAGTCTCCCTGGTAAGATCAGACATTTGTTTTTAAAACGTAGATTTATCACTTCTACACAAATATCAGCTTGCTAATTTATTTTCAAGTATTTCCGCACTTTACATATCTCTATAAGTACTTTCCCCAAAACAAATAAAAAAACTATCGATTTATTGTGCTCAGTTTGTTGACGAAAACAATTGTTGGCTCACCATTTGAGTTATAAATGCTACCCTTGCTTTTTGTGCATGGTGGAATTATAGTATACAGCATTTAAGAATCTGTCTTCACTCTCTTGAATCCTGAAAGCTAAGCATCAGTAAGTTAGAAAATAAATTATTGCTACCGTTTGAGTTCTTCACCTTAGATTAATTCTTCTCTTCCCTAGATTTCGGCTACTTGATAATGCCCCATGTTTGACTTGCATTTTTGTGGTACAAATACATATATTAATGGCAGTTACTTGATTTTCAGGCTTTTTCCATAAAAGGCATGTACGGAAATCTGTTGGGTCCACTATATGTGCATTTACATATACTTGCCATAAGTGCCAGGGTGGTCAGTCTGTGAAAGTTGATGCAAATAAGGCTAAATCTCAGTCCCCAAAGCTGAAGAATGCATCGACACGACTGAAAACTTTACGCTCAACGAAAGGCAAAAAGATGAGGAAAGTAAAGCGAAAAGTGAAGTCCAAAAACCTTAAAGGAGTTCCTTTGGTTGAACCACTGCGAAGATCTGCCAGGAATGCAGAACGTGTTGCGAAGCTACCTCTGCAGAGTACTAGGGTGAAGAAACGGAAGAAGAGAAAACAAGCTAAAACGGAAAAGGGCTTGTCTAAGAAGCCCAAAATTAGTAGTTGTAAGAAGAAGAGGACACCTGTCAATAGCAGTTACTGGCTAAATGGTCTACAATTATCACATAGGCGAAATGATGAAAGGTTGATGCATTTCAGGAGTAGGATGCTTCTCGTGCTTCCTGGGGAAGTGACTTCTGTCCTCCATAAACCAAAATGCAGCCTGTGTGGTGAACTGGAGCATAAGTCTGATGTCGGTTATGTGGCCTGTGAAATTTGTGGAGGTAACATTTTGGGAAATCTTCTTTGTGTTTAAGAGATCAAGTTTTGTATTTCGACCAGAAAATACCAAAAACGACCCAGGGTGCATTTTTGTAAAACACTGAACACAAAGACAATGGTATTTTTGCAACACTCCGCAATATTTTTAGTTCAGTTCATATCTGCTTTCTGACACCCATTGTCATTCTATTAAGTGTTGAATATATTAAATCTGCCATGAACTCCTTGTCTTGATAAGTCTGTTCCTTTCGGAGAAACTACTGCTGGCTTTTGACTCATGTTTGGTAATTGACTCTTCTTTGAAGTTTGTACATGATTGTTCATTCAAACAATATTAGCTATACGTCTTGTCTATGTAGTGCATTTCGTTAATGGGATTTACATCTAGCGAAACACATAAATGACAACTTTGAAATATGCTTGTCTATTAACAGGATCTCTTTCTGTTTACTTATCCTTTGTGCTATTGTTTGCAGTTTGGTTGCATGTAGATGCTTTGAATCCTAGAGCTGGTGAGATTGAAAATGTTATTGGCTTCAAGTGCCACTCGTGTTTGCATAAACGGCCTCCTCTCTGCCCTCATCCTTGTCCTATTGAAAAGGACAAGGATGAACTTATTTCCGAAAAGAAGACTGATACTGAGTGCACCAAGGAGAAGTCTAATTGTTTGGCTAAACCAAGTGACAAATCAGCATGTCAGAAATCTCATTCAGACAGTGACTCCAAGGATGAATGTATGACTGTCAATTTTGAGAAGCAGCCGTCTGACACTGCCTGAGTCGACCCAGAAAGATAGAGACTTGGTATGGCCTGAGAAGATTTGACTCGGTAACGATTCTATTGAACTTGGTGAATGATGGGGAGGCATCAAAGGCTATTACAAGTTATTTTACTGATCCTGTTGGACATAATTTAGGTGGCTGAAGGTTCACCCTTTAACCCATAACTTTGTGAAGAATGGTTTGCAAAACAATTCTGACCCAACTGAGTTCTCTCTATAAATTCCATTAGTGTCAGGTGACATGCTGTTTGGTGGGGAGAAAATTGTAGATTAGATTTGAGTCATACCTTTTAATTGCACAAGGTATTGTGCTAATGGTACAGATGTAAAACTTTTTATGAATCTTAGAATACCATCTGAAATTAAAGAGTTCATTGAGATGATTTTTAAGAAATTAGAGCAAGTATTTATCTGGTTCTTTTCTCTTCAATGATCAAAATCCTTTAATCATCTAACTTATTATAATTATATTATAGTTATAGTATATTGGTGCTTACACGTTTGATTTATTAGCAAACGTTCCAAGATGGATTGATGTTTGAACTTTTAAGGTGTTATCTTCTGTTTCCTGTCACTAGAAAAATGTCATGATTTTCTTTGTTATTTATTTGTTCTAGTTGAGTTGTGATTTCTCTTCCTAGATTAACAATAGGTTCTTGCTCCTCCAGAAACTTATATGTAAATTTCATGAGAGTTGGGACCTTTTTTCTCTTCCTCAATATACATTTTTTCTTTTTTGGCAAAACAATCCTCTAACAATTTGGTATCATAACAGTGGGTGCACAAGTTTGGTGTGTAGTACTTTATTTGTTCACATTGTTATTGTTCATGAATATCGATGCCTTTGTTAGTTTATGCCCTACTTTGTATTTTTGGAGTTTAATGTGGAAAGAAAATGTTTTGTTTGGCAGAACAGCAATAGGGTTGCTTTTTTAATTATGATATCTCCACTGAAATCTTCAGCTTGGACGGGAAAAGCATGTTCTGCCAATTAACCTTCCGCTTCCGGTCAATTGTTTCTGTTCTTCACTGATTCTCTTTTGTTGGATATTGCTAAAGTGCTTAGATGTATTTATGGCATCACGATCGCATACTTAGTGGTCTTACTGTTGATGTCTTTGTGCGGTTTAAGCTCGTTTCTGACTTGTTGAACAAGTGCATATAGAAAGTAACTCACAGGCCTTGCATGCAAAGCCATGGCTTGGACATTCGAGTTGGAATATATGTAAGTAGCTAATAGAAACAATTAATGTTTTTCGACAATCAACTACTAAGCCCATCACAGTGTGTTCCTAGTGTGTAATCGGTGAAACATCACGATGATGCTGGCAAATCAGAGCAACATGGAGGTGTTGTTACATGCAGTCACTCAAAGTATATCATTATCTGCTCCATATAAAGAGGTTTGAGTTTTTTACCCTCTTCCAATGTAAGTTTTTTAGCAAGTACGTGTATTTCGGTGTTAGCACAAGATATATCTTGTTTTACACCTGTTTTCTGGGTGATTGATTTTATCCAATTAAAATTGGAAACAACAGGGGAAACAGGTACAGCTCTTATGAACGAAAATGATGTTGGAGTTTTTTCTGGAAATGCAACCATTGATATATAATGCTTCTTGCCCCTGTAAGTTGACTGGAATGTATTTTTGTTCTGATATAAGGCACCAAGAGTGCTGATATTAGATTTGGCTCGTGTAATTTCGTTTACATGTTATAAACCAGAGGTAGCAGTCTGTGGAAAGCGTAAGGTGTAAATTATCTGCAGGTGTTTTTGTTATCGACTTTCCTGTTCATGTCATCTCGTGGTCTGCAAGAAGTGACCGCATGAGCAGCTTATGGTATTTCTTAATTGCTATACATTATTGATTGGTTAAAGTAATCGACTTGCTCAAGCTTCAGATTAATTTTTACTAGACATTGTACAAAGCACTTATGTAGATACAGTTTCAAAGGTTTTGAGGAGCTTTTTTTGGGAATTGGATTATCTGCAATTTGGTACCGAAATTGTGTACGCAAAAGATAAAACACATATTTTGTAAGTTACATGTGAAAAATGTCACAACTTCTGTAAACTCAAATTGGGGAATATAAGGAATTTATCTGGAGTTTAAGAATCAGATTCAACTTCTGTAAACACAGTACACAGTATGTTCCCTCCCTCGCAGTACCCAACAGGATGAAAAAGCCAGTTCAGTGTCTCTCCTCTCCCTCTCCCCAATGTTATTGGTTATGGGAAAAAAAACAGATTGCTTAATTGCAAAAATTGATAATGAAAAATATTGACGTTTTCGTAATTAGAGATTTATTTATTTAATTTTTAACGGCAAACAAATTTATCAAAACTCAAACTAGAGTACAAGCCGGTAACCAATTGGTTGGAAGCGACCAACACAGGAGAAAATACATCCGCAGCCAAAGTACAAAAACAGGTATCAAAGTGCAGCAATTTCTTGTTAAGCTTCAAGACCAAGCCTCTGTTGTTCACTCTGCAGCAACAATGAAGCCAAACTGCATGGCAAGCCTTCAGCATTACCTTCCTTAAAGCTTCCAGCCACATGCCTTCTTCACAGCCACCATACCAGATTTTTAGCTTTCGACACTTTGAGTTTCTTCTCCCTATTTTTCAACAACACAAGTCATATCCAACTGATCTAATGAGGAGCATAAGGTACCGGCACTAAGGCTCCACTGTCGTAAAAGCACTCAGGATCAATGGAAATCAGCACACCTACACTGACTCTCCACCTCTAGCCTTGGACTGAACTTCAGCAAATTCCAACCACTCTGCCATACGATCCTTAGCAACGTGCACCTCACTCACACAGTCATTTCAAAAAACCCGCAAAGTTCTGGTTCTCTAGAGTCACTAAAGAACGTATGGGAAAACACTGATTCTCTATCATTGAGGCTACCAACTTGAAGAGCATTTCAAGTATCTCCCCACCAGCACCTAAAAGGATTGTGAATTTCAAGATTATTCCAGGCTACACCACTCAGCTTCCACTAGCTCTAACACACTTAAGCAGAATATGCCAAGATCATCAGCTTCCACACCACAAAGAAAGCAAATGCTGTCATTTGGTATCCTACGCAAATCCATATATTTTAAATAATAATTTATTCCTAATTATATTATTCTGAATTAAATGTACATATGACGTTAGGTTTATGGTAGTTTTAAAAGGTAAGAGAAAAAATTATTTTAAGATTTTTTAAATATAAAATATAAGATATTTCATAAGTATAAAATATTAATGCACCACTAAAAGTATCATCTTTAAATTTCCAAATATCATATTGTTTACCATACAAATTTTTGGTTATAGTATTAAAAAAATTAAAGAGGAACAATTTAGTGAACGTGCAGATGTTTAAGAATGATTGAATAAAAAATAATTGTTCAACATACAAAATATCAACTTTCTATAGAAAAAAGTTATTTGTTAAGTAAAAAAGATATGATCTTAACAAAAATATTCGTTTAAATTGTCCACTAAAACAAAATACATAATATGATGTAAGTTTAACTGTTAATAATATGTATAGTATAAATGTTCTTCTTAATAATGTGTTACATAAATTAAAATAGCATTTACTGAATTGTAATATAAAAAATAGATAATTACTAAATAACATAAAATAACTAAAATTCAATTTTAAATCATAAATTTCACAATACGTTTAGAAATTAATTACCACTAAAATTAATTAAATAAAAATAAACAGTAAATTTACTTTAAATTTGTTGTCTTTAGCATATCTTATTTATAAAATCATTCATAAATTAAATATTTCAAATCACTTCTCAAAAGTAGAGAAAATAAACTATATAAAATAATGACGAAGATATAAAAATAATGTTAAGTGATAAAAAAAATATGAAAGAATCATCATTTTATAATTCATTAAAACTAGAGTTATTAAATTTTCACATTATGATTGTCTTGAAAATCCATGAACGAAGATAACACATGTAGGACAATTTTAGGATATGCTACAATAATTTATATTGGACAAGATATATAGATAAATGTGTATCTTTAATCAATAAAGATATTATTCCTAAGCTTTTTCATGTAATTTTTTTGAAATAATTACGACTTTAAAAATATTTTCAAATACTTATGTGTCTCTTATGTCACTTATCTAGGTATTATGAAATATTATACCTGCAAATATTACTAAACTTGCAACCACTATAATCAAAATAATTGATATTGAATTATTCAAACATAATGTTTTAGCTTCCAATCGACAATAAAAAATGATCATTACAAATTATAGTTATAACAAAATTCGAATTATTTTTCAAAGAGTATGATGCAAAAGGATGACATTAGAAAACTATATTTGATGACAATATTAATGATCATTATTTTAAGAAAAAGTAGGGAAAAGAAACTATATAAAATATTGACGAAGATATAAAAATAATATTAATATAAAAATAAAATATGTAATAATCATCATTTTATAATTCATTTAAACTGGAATTAGTAATTTTTTATCTTTAGGATACTCTTAAAAATCCGGGAATGAGGATAATGGATATGACAATGTTAGGAGATGCAACAATAATTTATGTCGGAAAAGATGTATACATAGATAGGTATATTTAATCAATAAAGATGTTATTATTGTTAAATTTTTTCAAGTAAATTTTCTTTTTGAAATAATTACGATTTTGAAGAAATTTTCAAATATTTATGTATCTCTTATGTCATTATGACTAGGGAATTATTATATATACCTAAGTATTATGAAATATTATACTTGCAAATATAATTAAACTTGCAGTCAATGTAATCAAAATAATTGAGAACGAATTATTCAGACATAGTTTGTTAGCTTCCAATCGACAATAAATAAAAAATAAACATTATATATTATAGTTATAGCAAATTTGAGTTATTTTTCAAAGAGTATGATGCAAAAGGATGACATTAGAAAACTAGATTATGATAAGAATAATAGTGATCATTATTTTAAGCACAATGTAGATACCATTGAATAATAAAATCAAAGACAATATAAATTTTTTTAGCATTTACATTTTCACTAAAAAATATTTATTTTATTTTTGGTTTTCAATCCAATGTTTTTTATTTAATTTAATTTATCATAGAGTTTAGTTAATAGTATTAAATACTATATTTCATTATTCAATAAAATACAACATTTTTTGTTAAACTAGATGAAAGAAAATTATATTATATATTAAATATAAACCTAATACTAAAAATAATTTGAAAAAAAAATATCACATGTGTAGCACGTGCATCTTCCTAGTGTTAATAAAAGCAAGAATACTTCTCATAATTCCAAATGATTCATGGTGATTGAATGGACGAGGGAAGTGAGGATTCTGGTCGTCGGTGGTGGTGTAGCGGCAGAAACCTCGAGCGCTAGATGGATTTGCGTAAAGCACAGTAGGAAAGAAAGAATGTATATTTAAGGAATTTTGCAAAAGTGAAAAACCTAAAAAAAATGGGCTAAGGCACCCTTTTATAGTTTGGAAAAAAGGTGAAGGTTAAGCGGTCAATTGATTTTGGTCGCAGGATCAAGGTGGGGTTCGATAGTCATCAAGCTCAGAAGGTGAAGAGACAGATCAAATCCAACAGTTAAAATAAAGTGAAGATGGGTGGATGAGATTAAATCCGCATTAATGGGCATGCTGCACAAGATCCGCACGGACTGCGAAGTGCCAGACAATGGGAAGCTTGGACTGGACCTGGCACGTGGCGACAATATGGATGGAAGGACAGGCGTGGAGCGTGGTAGTCATTCAAAATTCAAAATTCAAAGATAGAAATTCCGGAAAAAAGCTCGAACTAAAACGTGACAATGGTTTTAGAGCAAAGAAAGAGGTAAAAGAAGCAAGAAAAGAGCCAATATGGCAGAATTGAAGAGTGACCCATTTCACTATTGGATCGAGTCATCCTAAATCCTCTAGAGTGGGGGGACCAGATGATATGAGATAACCACACCAGGTCAAGTAAACCGAAGAAGCAGCTGAATCGAACTGGGTCAGCCATCAGGTCGAACGGAGAATGAAGACTCTATAGGTCGAAGGATTCTCAAGTCGAAGAGGATATCAGTGACACGAAGGATACTGGAAGGTCGAATGAGGGCCTTCAGATGGACTGATGGAATTTCAACTTGAAAGAGAATATGGTCGAAGGATAGACCAGACGGACGCAGCAGCAGGGCTTAACATCGATGGAAGTCTACCTCGAGGTAATCGAGGTCAGACGTACAGTTAGGCTGTCTAATGAAAAAGACTGAAGGACAAGAAGGAATATTATAAGGAATAAACCTCCACGTGGATAAAGTCATGTGGCATAACAGAATCGGGAAGCTCGGGCAGTACGAATTGGCAGTCGGGGCAGGTCCCATGAGAAGGCTTAGGCAACAAAGTATCATCTTCCTATATAAGGATGTGAGGTATGCCCTAAATTATATTATACTCTCTGCATACTTTACATACTGCACTTCATCTTCTACAAGTGCTAACTTAAGCATCGGAGACTCTTCATCGGAAAACTCCTCCGGTGTGAGAGTTCTACAGGTCAAAAGAGCGTTCAACCGACAAAGGAGCTCAAGAGCATGCCGATTCCGACCAATCGGAGGTCTTTACGATACCTAGCTTGTAAGTCAAACTTTTAGTTATCTTAGCTCTAATATAAATAGAAAAACATTTTTTTTTTCGAAACAATGGAAACTTTATAACCAAACACATAAGTACATCTAGATATAGCCAAACAAATGAGAAACACATAGAGCTGAATCTAGTGGGAGACAACCTCGAAGGTCGCTTGGAGCATGCACTAGAGACACAGAACAACACACCCACTAGCACAAACTACAGCTCCCACAAATAGAGAAAAACGCGCCCCCACAAGTGGAGAATACGATCCCAACAGGAGAAAAACACATAAACTAAAAAATCCTACAACGAACAAAAAATCATAAACACATAAAGAAAACTACAACCCTCCCACCAGCCGAAGGGGAACTCCAGACCAACACCACTCGAGTCAAGACCTAGGCGATCACCCGACACTGAAGCTAGTCCACAACCCACACGCAGCCAAACGAACCGACAACCTACTGAGTGGCCACCAACGGTACAACACCTGTAGACCCGCATCTAACTCCACCCCCAACACCACCTAACGGCCACAACCCCGCTCGAACTGAGCCGAAAGCCACCACCGGAGAACCCATCCAAACCCAGGGCAAGAAGAGAAACATAGGTCGAAGCTAAAAAGCTGTCTCTTGCCCGACCGTCGCCAAACAACAACTTGAGCCCGCCTCAGCACCATCGCCGGCGAGCCAACACGTCCCGACCACCCGCCACAGCCGACCAAGAGAAGGCGAAGCGCCGAAGCAACAGAGATTGTTGGCCCGTCGGCGACGCGCCTTCGACCCAAGAGCAGAATCCGAGAGGTGGGGAGCGAAGTGTCGATGGAAGCGAGGCGACGACTGAAAAAATTAACCAACTAGGTTTTTATTCTGATTTTGTTAACATAATTTTGACTTATGATATTTTCTGTAATCTCTCTATATACTCTCCAAATAATACAAAATCCGAAAATATATTCTTCAATTCAATGTTGAATAAAAAATAACCATAAAATGCTCCAAAAGTGGTAAACATATGTCATGTGAGTTGTGACTGGTTCTAACTACAAAATGACCTACTATATTTGTGTCTTATCTCTCATACAGAAACTGCCATAGTTCCAACTGCAGTAGACTTCACAGTAGTGTCTCATAAATCATCATGCTACTTGTACCTATACATGTAGCTAGGCTTAATGTGACCAAATTAATTAAAGAGTCAAAATAATTTCTACCTACAAATTTATATTTTTTTTCCACTTGAGAATTAATGTTTTTGGATATGTCCCCTGAACATGAGACTCACTGATGGAAGAAAAAAAAAACCGTTGCAGCCCACAACGCCACGTAGCACTTTCTAATCTCATACATTTTCATTAATTAGGTAAATTAAGTTATTAAAAATGGAAGATACTACCGTCCCGTTACAGAACTATTCCGTCGGAGTTTGTAACCGTTATATCAACTATGATTACATGATGATCTAACGGTTACAAACCCAACGGAATTGTTCCGTAACGGGACCTTACCAATGCTACGGTCCGTTACGGAACCATTCCGTCGGAGTTTGTAACCGTTAGATCAACTATCATTGACGGTTACATGATGATCTAATGGTTACAAACCAGACGGAATGATTCCGTAACGGGACCTTACCATTTTCCATTAAAAATAGTTGCCTACCATAAAATCTATTAATTTATTAACTTCCAATCTTGCCCTGCTATCTGTGCGCTTATATATATAAGTTATAACATACATTGTGTTCACAATCACAAACACAAATCCTTAACCCCAAAGGGACTCTCAAAGAAATAGATTTTCTTTTAAACTGAAATGGCTGATGAGTTCTTGCAAAACATGAAACAGTCTTTCTCTTTAGCAGACATTGACACCAGCTTTGAATTCTTGAATCAATTTCCCGGCCCGTATCCGTTTTTCAATAGCCCGGTCGACGAGGCCGCTTTTCCTCAGTTATTAATACCTCAAGGCCCTGCAGGGAACCTGGAAAATTTCCCTGGATTATTTACCATCCCTGATGAAATTACTGCAGTAACTTCTTTTACTGGGCCTGTGGATTCAAACGACGTCGATAGTAAGGACCTCACGAGGAAGAAAATGGAGATCGACACACCACAAAGCAGTTCTGCAAATAACTCTGCATATACATCTCCTCAGGGCTCTCATAATGGGACCAAAAAGACAAATGTGAGTTTTTTTCGCCTCAATATATAATTATTTGATTGTGATATTGTGATATAACATGTTATACATGTATAACAATGATCAAGTTCGATTTTTTATCGTTTTTCTATTTATGATAGCGTGTCGGAAAAGGAAAGAAAGCGAAAGTCGTAAAAAATGAAGACGAGAAGCCGAGGGAAGTGGTTCATGTAAGAGCGAAAAGAGGCCAAGCAACCGACAGTCATAGCTTAGCAGAAAGAGTATGTCCGAAAACGGACCAAACGAAACCTTTTTAATCCTTGTTTTTCGAAGTCTAATATACTAATAAATCGACGTAGAAAATGTGATTCATGACTAAATCGGAATTTTAATATGCATCAGGTGAGACGAAGAAAAATTAACGATCGGTTGCAATGTTTGCAAGACATTGTCCCGGGATGCTACAAGGTGATTACTATCGTTCGGCATAGTTCGTTTTTATATTTTTTTGGCAAAATTGTATTTTTAGTCTCGCTGGTTTAACGTTGTAGCATTTTTAGTCTTAAGATTTTAATTTTTTGTCTTTTGGTCCTGTAATTTAGTATTTTGTTGCAATTTCAGTCATTTGAGACTGAAATTGCAGCAAAATATGAAATTACATGACTTAAATTGCTAATAAAAAATTCATCCAAAAGATTTTTCATTAGCAATTTAAGTCCTGTAATTTTATATTTTGTTGCATTTTCAGTCCCAAAAGACTGAAATTGCATTAAATTTTAAAATTATAAGACTAAATAGCAAAAATATTCAATTCGTAGGACTAAAAACGCAAATGAATCAAACCAACAAGACTAAAATTACAATTTTGCCTTTTTTTTTTGTTCTTTTTTCGCAAAACAACACTGAATTGTTTTCCCAATTGATACAGACAATGGGAATGGCAGTAATGCTGGATGAGATTATTAACTATGTTCAGTCCTTGCAAAGTCAAGTAGAGGTAAATCACTATTTTTTTTTTTTTTTTTTTTTTACTGCTACCAGCACACACGTATGAAAAATGCATAACACTTTTAGCGCAGTGGCGCATACCTTGTCTCGACGTGTACCATGTCCCGAGTTCGAGTCACCTGGGGGGAATTGGGGAATCAGTATTGATCCCCTTCCAAAGAACGAAGCTGACATATTTTTATTTTTATTTTTATTATTTAACTTTATCTTCTTAAATTCAGTTTCTTTCGATGAGGCTTACGGCAGCTAACACGTTTTACGATTTCGCTTCAGACACAGATTCCATGGCAGCAATAAAGGTATGAAAATCGAATTATTAAAAGAGTGTTTGCTAATTTTTGTTTTTAAATTTAAAATTAATGAGAAAAAATAGTTGAAAGTTTAAATACTTTTTATAAAAAATATATATTATTATATATTTTAGTATAATACTTGTTACTTGTGCGAATTACATGTGTTCTATATTGTAATAATTTTTCTAACTTATAACATATAACTACATTAAACATAAATATATTAGTTGAGAAATAATTTTATTTTTCTAATTAATTTTAATAATTTTTATTATTATTATAAAAATAAATATATTTTATTTATTTTATATATACAATATGATTGTCAAATCGAAGTTCATCAAAAGATGATTAATTTGATATATTATATATGTAAAACTGATAATAAATACAAAAGTTATCAACTTTTAAAATAAATTTACAATTCAATAGTTATAATAGGAAATGATAGTATTAAAATACAATTAATACATCTAAAATGATCATAAATAAATCAACATATTTATGGTAATCTGAACCTAATTTATTTTTGGGTTGAATTAAATTAAAATTTATCCAAACTAAATAATAAAACAAGAAATTTTGACACCTTGGATCCCGAAGCATGCGAGTCTGCCATTTAGGCCCAACATATTCGGGAATTATATATGGGATGTTAATGTTGGTTAAAAATACTTCTTTTTGGTTTTTTGGCAGAGTTCAACTCCAAAGGCATATGAAGCAGTGAATGTGCAGAATGCTGCAACTCAAGGACTTGCTTATGCTGAATTTGCACAACCGGGCCTCAATTTTGGCTATATTCCTCAGTTTCCCCACGACATGTGAAGACACTACTCACTGTCACTGCCAACTTGTGTAACTCTAGAAATCAAAGGAACAATACGTTTATATTTAGAATTTGTATAAGCTATAATCCAATTTGGACCTTAACTGATTATTTGTAGTTAAATGTGTAATCCGGCTATTCCGGACGAAAGTATACGCAATACGGCTCATGGATATGAATACGAACGGATCGTACGTACGTCTAAACACGAAGTTATCCTAATCGAATATAATTTATTTTTGTCAATTATTATCATATATTTGTAGTTATTTTTAATATTATGAGTTAATTTTGTTCTTAATTACAAATGTACTTAGTTTTTGTGGTTATGGTTTTCAAGTGAATGTGTTGAATTGTTTTGTCACAACGAATAGACGGTTGAACAACAGGCATTTAAATTAATTAATGTACTAAATTATTAATTATATAAGATGCATAATAACACAAAATATATCAATTAAATATATCCAAAGGACGTAGGGACATATAACCACTTGATAATTGCAATAAAATCGTCTTCATTGGGAGACAACGCGTCTGCAACAAAGATATGTATGTTACTTGCAATTTATTAATCGGCTTATTTGTCATGTCTTTGCATTGGTTTCTGACAATAACGCATTAACTTATGAGAAATGTGTAGGAGCAATACAATAAAATTAATAGTTTCAATTATGTGTTTTTTTTTTTTTTTTTAATGAAATTTGTTTGTGTTGTCCCACATTTTAGGTAACCAAAGTGATTTTTTCTCCTAAAATCATTTGATGAGAAGGAGACTACTCACCATCATCAGTGATGTCAAATTAAACGAGTTTGGCTCAACTCGACTCGAACTCGACTCGCTACGGTTCAAGAAAAGAATTTTTATTTAATTTTTTATTGTTCGACTCAGTAAAGTTTGAAATCGACTCGTTAATAGTAATAATCAAGTCGAGCTCGAGTTTGATTTTTTACTCCTTTATTTAGCAAGCTGAACTCGGCTCGACTCGTTAAGTGTTCGAGCTCAAACACCCTAAGCTCGAACTCGGTTTGGCTTATATACATGCCTCCTGATCACCATGTTTATTAATTAGGTTCATTTTTTTTTTATAATTAATTAACGTAGGATAACTCACAATCAAATATAATTCTTTCACTTGTTTGTTATTAATTATTTAAGAGTTAAGACTAGGCCTAAAGCAAGCTTGGTTAGCCAAGTAATCGTTGGTCCTATACTAGAGATACTCTGATATTGACATAATTTTAAAATTGGTCCTATAATTTGGTCACTTTCTAAAAAATTACTCTGATATTGACCACTTTCAAACTGGGTCCAATAATTTGACATTTTAATCAAATTTGGTCCTTTTTATCCGGAACATGGATTAAAATGTGATTAAAAATGGACCAAATTTGATTAAAATGTAAAATTATAGGACCAAGTTTGAAAGTGATCAATATCGATCGGAGTGATTTTTTGGAAAGTGGTCAAATTATAGGACCAATTTAGAAATTATGCCATCTGATATTGTATTAGATTTATATATAAATTCAATAGTTATAAGAAGATAATATATATATATATATATATATATATATATATATATATAATCTATCATTATATAAAAAGAATAACTTTTTTACAAATTTAGAAATAATTTCCCGCCAAAATCATTAATTACATACTAAAAATAGCATAATTAAAAGTTTTGACTAAATGCCCGTAAATATCTCAATACAACACCTTTTAATTTTTTGGCAGGAATCCCTATTTATATGGATTCTTTCAATTATTTTTTGTATTTAATTTCCAAAAAAAATCAATAGCAATAATTTGGTAATTATTTGTAAATATTTAGTGCGAATAATTTATAAGCATACGTAATTTTTTAGTTTACTTAGTGTGAAATCAATAATTGATCTAAATCTATTGATTAAAATTTTCAAAATTCTTCAATTAATTATTTTATTTCTACCTAATTTGTTTTTATTTTTATTGATATGCTACCATATGATTTGAAGAAACATTGATTAATAAAATAAAAAATTTATAATTTAATTCTATAAAATTAGTTGATAAATTTGAACGATAAGGTAACCGACAACAACTCCAGAAAATTACGATATTATACATATAATCTATTCATATATCAAATATATAAGGAAATTTAGTGTGTAGTCCAAATTTGAGTTCCAAATTCATAAGTCAAATAAGTAATTATTCATAACGTACGAGTCAACATTAACTTTGACGACGTAAATGAAATAGTCAATTATTCATAATTTAATAAATTACTCAACCACTTCAATTTTTTGATTCGAATATTTTATATAAAAACAAAATCATCTAATTAGTGAAACAATATAATATTTATAATTATACTTATTATTCACATATATTTTTAAATAGACGAGAAAAATTTACAACTTACCTATAAATTCGATTTAAAAAATTTGATTGTGTTTTTTATTCCAAACAAAATCTCTTCCTAGTATAAAGGATTTTGTTCAAATTGAATTTCAAAATATCTAATCACATAATTCTATCCATATCCTTAAATGAAGAATTTTGTGCCACTTTAAAATTAACAGACCTCTTGGAAATTACAAAATCATAATGAATTTTCATTTTTTTTGGTTTCAATCTGCTCGAAAATCAAAATAGTTTAAGAATTTCAAATTAATTGAAATTCATCTCTTTAATTTTTTTCATAAGTTTCAAAATTTTACAGTAATTAAGTCAAATTACAAATGCATTGTTTCAAAAATCAAGAGGATAATTTTGAAAATAGATATATTTTTTTTAAAAAAAATTGTCTTAGTCTCCATTCAATATAAAACAAATCCCATTTTATTTGTAAATTGATAAATCTACATAAAGCGTGGAATTTTATGCCTACAAAATTTCATTTTACAGTAATTAAAAATAATAATAATTTTGAAATCTTCTGTACTCACATTTATTAAAATAATAATAATAATTTTCACAGTAACTAAATAATAATGATAATTTTGAAACTTATGTACTCCAATTAATTAAAATAATAATAATAATAATTTTGAAATTTTTTGTACGAAATTACTCAAAAGAATAATAATAATAATTTTGAAATCTTCTATACTCAAATTTTCAGGTACTGTAGTGTCGTCATAATTTTCAGCATCTTGTCAATATTTATTTTATATATACTAGGTAAATTTTCATTCAAGAAATTTATAAAGTATTTATTTAGGCTTATAATATTTTATCATGTCATGTTCAGAAAACATATTTCATACAAATGTAAACTTTAAATCTTTACAAAATAGTTTAGAAAAGTTGTAGGTGACTTCACGTCTTTTAATAATAACTAGTGCGTATCCCGTGCGATGCACGGATAAATAATATTAAATAATAATTAGAAATAGGTCTGGAGTTCGAGTCACCCAGTGAAAGAAGTGGGAAACCATCATTTCTTAAAAGAGCAAGAAAAAATATTATAAATTAAAGATGATGTTAAACAAATTAAAGATGTGGCGTTAACATGTGATATAATTTACCGTATATCAATTTATTATAGACAATCTGAAATTAGCTTGTACAAGAGAACATAAAATTTGTATGTTTAAAATATTACAAACACTTAAAATATTATATTAATATATGTAAAAGTATCTAAAATTTTCTATAGTGTTATTAAAAGATGTGAAATCATCTATAACTTTTCTAAGAAAGAAAACATGTTTAAAAACATTAACTTTCACTTTTTGCATGAAAAATGTTTTCTAAACTTTTTTTTTTTTTTT